GGTGAGACTAGTTTTCACGCAACGCCATGACTTACAATGATATGATAAGAGTGATATTCATTTTGATGGCGCAGGAACTCTGCTGCGAAAGATTTGAAGAGAAATGGCGCAACGATACAACCAACTTGTCTGACGCTGTAAGTCACTTCTCAATCCAATCCTTCGGTATTTATCGACTGGCAAGATCAGTACCCGATGCTCGCAGTCTGCCATCTGCTCAAATCTCTCCAGGACCATTTTAAAACTGCTGAACACACTATTAGTCCTAAATTCTTTGAATACTGTCTGATTTGTTTTTCAGTATCGCATACCACTCGCCAACCGCTACTCAATCATACTCATGTAACAGGACAAGAAAGACAAAAAAGATGAGGAGGCATCAGGGCATCTAACAACTATGCACGAGTGCTCAAGAGCTGCTATTTGCAAAATTGGCTAGAGAATCAAACAATGCAGGTTGGTACATTTCCTCTACATTCTTATCATTTTTGTAGTTAAAGCAATAATCCTACATTGTAATTAAAATTTATTTAATTTCTTAAAGTACGCCATTGTTTTATCCTGGTGCAGATTTGAATTTCATAACTTGCTTCACCTGTACTTAATATCCCTTCGTAAAGGTGTTGGACCTAATCCTTGATGAGGGGGGGGGCGGGGGGTGATATTTCTGACGCTCATTTCTGGTCACAACTAAACCAAGTCACAAGTAGTTGCTTAGTTTCGACACTGGTTCAGCTAGATAGTATGGTCTAGGCCTTAAAGCTTAAAATAAGTGTGTTACACTTGTTACCTGACCTGCTTCAGTTAACTAGGCGGAATTCCATGCGGAGTATTTTACACTTCTTGTCTGATTGTTACAGCTTAACCAGCTGAATTTGCATCTGGGGGAACTTAGAGAGTTGGTGATACAAAGCTTCAGGTAATTTTCGCAATGAGTTCGTTCCAATTCTGCTGCGCTTCATGCGTAATGTCAGACACAATATAAATGCTTTAACAATTTAACTACTATTTGTTCTCATGTTGTTTAGCCTTTTCTTTTTGTTCCAATTCCTTGTTAGTTTATATGGTCCTTGACGCAGGAATTTTCATCTACCAATATCATCCCTGTACCACTAAGTTCAGCCTCCCTTTTTGAGTGATCTTCATTTACTATAACCTGTGATGGGGATATGTTTACATGTAAAACAAGAAACATATTACTATAATTTTATTAATTATTAAGAATTGGATTAAG